GTGACATGTTGATTGCATCAGCCTAAGAGGGCTATACTTTTGAGCACTGCAAGCTTTAGTATACTCAGTTGGAACCACTAGTGTCAAAGAACACGTGTGTAACATGCTACTATTGGGCACGTTTACTCAAGCACAGCTAAACAAATGGCTCTGGAATACGTGCTGGGATAGGGATGATTCCATAACTTCCAATTTTCATAAAACTTAAACTGCTACTGCGCCTATATGTTTTGAGAAACACTGAAACAACTTCCTCTTCCCAAAATGAAGTGAAAACACGGTCAAGAAGTGTGCTATTGATGCCTTAAGCTGAATGTAAAATTACATGACAACACATCAACGTGAAAGTCATTCTTGCCACTCATCACTGTGCTAAGCTACCTGCCCATCACTCACTCCTTGCATGGGGCAGGCAACCAGCATGCAGGCACAGAGGATACTCATAAGCATTTCTGATTCTGACTGCTCTTCACCTTCTAAATTATAAGAATGAAACTAACAAAATCTAAAGTCTTCTCATTTGCATCCACAGAACCTTTTAAATAGCTATGTTTAAAACAAAAAAGCCCATTCAGACCACAACAAAGGGGAGGTAGAAGGCATGTGGTTTGCCCACAATAACCAAGGGGTTAGGACTGCCACAGTGACGTGCTTAGCAGAACACCAAGTAAACACCTTCCGGATGAAGTGCTCCTCCCTCTCAACCAACAAGCAGCACAGAACTGCCAAAACACTCGTAGAAAAAAGAAAAAAGGTAGTTTGCCCTATCATATAAAGAGCACGTGTTACCTGTCCAGCAGCCACTTCCTGAGGTTCCCCTGCCAGCAGCCCTGCCGCGAGTGAGGCCATGCCTAGTGCACAGCTGAACAAGGAACTCAGAATGTGGCTACAAGGAGGAGGGAAATACCATGGCCGAATTTAAATGTATGCTGACTACCAGTGTGGACTCTAATTACAACATCCGCACAGAGCCTGCTGTGCTAGTGGCACAGTAACTAGTGGTCTGGTTATGTTCAATTTTAAGATGCATTGCGTGGGTAGGACCTGTGCTATTACACAAGACACTTCCAAGAGCGAGGAAGGAGACAGCTTCAGCTCACAGCCAAGAAACAATCATGCAATAATCCTGCCCATGCTCCTCTTTTCCACAAAGCAGCAGCCTCCTTTCAGAAGCTGTCCCTAAAGCTGCACTGTCCGTATCAGGTTTTGGCATCTGAAAACTCTGTTGCTTGGATATAAGTGGCAGCTGTAAGACCCACAGCAGTACCAGAACTACAAAACTCACACTCACAAACAATACAACAATCCAATCCGGGCACCCAGCATTTGAAAAAACATTTTTCTCACAAGTCTGACTCAGAAAAGCACTTTTAAAAAGGGGCACAACTTACAGCAGTCACTCAACTCCCAGTGTTATCAATGAGACCCAAAAACAGGCTTAAGCATGCAGCTGTCTGTCTACCGCCTTCATCAGTTTCCGGCTTCACAAAGGCAGCAGAGACACCTTAACACATCACAAGCTTGACATGTGTTAAAAACTCAAGTCTTGTGAGCTGTTGAGCACATGTGGATCTCAGTGAATGTCAGACTGGCTCATGACAGTCAAGTTAAACATATACACAAGGTGCTGCACATCCAGGGCGTGAAGATGCACAAAGTTGCCTTGAAAACCATTTAACTCAGAGCTGGCATGGCCAGAGTATGATCAGTCTTCTACAGCACAACAAAACTGTACAAATTACTGATCCCACAGTCTGCAGGGATTAGTTCTGCGAACACGCCAGGGGTTACAGCATGGGTGCCTAAAGGTAGAAGCAGTGAATCATTTCATCTTCTCTGGCACTGAGTGTCATGTACTTGACTAAGAACACACCAAGAGTGGCTTGGGGGAAGACACTAAAACTGGGATTCTGACCCTTTCTCCACCCACATCCCAATTCCAACTCATCTTCATTTAGGCTGCCACAGTCAGAAAACACAAGCCATTCCGTCTGCCGGGTGTTAGCATCAGTGGCACAGAAGGGAAGATATTGTCAGGGGGCTAAATTCATTCCAGCTCTAGCTGCAGGGAAGTTACAGCAGTGCAGATACAGATGTCCAATTGCAAACCACATCCCACTTCCTCAGAGCCTTCTTGGATTATGCTACAGCAACAGAAACTGCACCGTAAAACTGTATTACAACTTTAGTATACTGAATTAGCATATTTCCCATTGAAGGTCTATGCCAGTTTGATTTTGGTCTTCTGCAAGCACTTACTAACAGCTGCTTTAATTAGTATCTCACTGGTGTGTAGACAATGATCTGATACACATCAAGAAGCGCTTTCTGCATAAAGCAAGAACGTTACATATACCATGATACAAACAGTCCTTCCTCCCACCCTCAGTACCACAGATAAGGGCCAATCGACTGGCAGTGCATCACAGAAAGGCAGTATTGTATTTAACTCCTCTTATTTCAGGTATTCAGGGCACCCTCGGGGAGGGGGAGGCACAGAAATGAGAACCACAAACAATTCCAGTAGCTCATTCTCCTCTTCACCCTCAAAGCGTTAAAAGGAAAATACAATGTCAACATCAGCTCCTCCCTGCTGATGAAACTGGCTCGAGCGCATTTTAGTTTCTGGCTTGGAGCCCTTACAAACCGTTACAGAAAGACAGAAAGACAGCTCAATATATCGACCACTTCCAATAACTAATTTGGGACGCTATGGGTCATTTGCCCCTCCTGTTAAGTGCTGTAGCGTCTCTGTGAATGAACCCTGATATTTGGTGGGGTTTATTAAGAAAAGGGGGCAGCTAATAGCAGACTTGCATTTCAGGGAAGAGCCAACCCTACTATCAGTATATATAAATACTCCCCACTCTTCGTCTGGGAGGCCCACGTTACATCTGATACACGAAAATCGTCTCCAAGACTGATGGTGGGCGCTCAGTCCACGCCCCCCCCCCCCCCCTTAAGAGAGGGATCCTGACAGGCTGCCTGCCTCTGGGTCCCGAATCGGAGCTGACACACATGGAAACGGGGAGCCGGAGCCCCGCTGCAGAGCGGAGCGGTGGGCGGGCTGGGGCTCCGGCTCGTCCTCCAGCCACGGCGGCAGCAGGATGCTGGCTGCAGGAGAGGCTTCCCAACCGGGAACCGGCGGAGCATCAGCAGCGACCACGCCAAGAAAATCACCACGAGCTCTCATTTATACATTAAATATATATATATATTTATCTCCCGCAACTGAAAAATAAACCGTTTCCTCTCAGCGACCCAACCAGTATTGTCCAAAACGACCTTCTCACGGGGTGTTTGTTGCAGCCGACACACACACTGCATGGACTTGGTGGCGAGGCTCTCGACACGGTCAAAGAGAGGGGGGTTTGCACGCAGGTACACGGCACATTTCCGTGAAGCTGCATTTTCTTGGCAGGGCAGCAGCCCCTCCGAGCCAGCCCCACGCATTTTGCCACCTCCCGCACTCCACCGTGCGAGGCTGGTGCGGCCAGCGCTGCCGCCAGAACCCCGCTGCCTCCTCCGCCGGCGACAGAAGAGGGGGGAATTCACAGGTAGAACAAAACACCCGCGCCGGCGCCCTCCGCCAGCCCGCCGGCGGGGCGTGGGGGGGATCCGCCAGGGGACCCCGCGGACGCCACCGGGGCCGGGTCGAGCACAGGGCCGCAGGGCCGGGGCTGCTGTGTGAGGGGAGGGGAGCGGAGGGGAGCGGAGCGGAGCGGAACGGGCCGGGGGCTGCCCGAGCCGCCCCGCTGCCGCGCGCCCGCGCCAACCGCCGCCCGCCCCAACCGCCGCCCGCGCGAGGGCCGGGCCCGCCCCGCCGCCCCTTTACCTTCGGAGAGCTCCAGCTCCAGCTCGGCCAGGCGGGCCCGCACCTCCAGGGGCAGGGACACGCTCTCCAGGCTGCGGTCCGCCATGCTCGCGCGGCGGGGACGGGCTCTCCCCTCCTTTGGCTGCCCCCGCTTCTCCCCCCTTTGTCCGCGGTTGAACGGGGAGAGGGAAGGCGGCGGGGCCGCGGCGGGTGGCTGAGTCCTCCCCGCGGTCTCAGCCGGGCATGCAGCGGGGGGGAGGCGGGCGGTCCGCGCGGGGGGACGGGGCGCGGAGGGTGGGAATGCGGAGGTTTCTCCTCTCCTCCCCTCTCCTCCTCCTCCTCCTTCGCCGCCTCCTTCAGCGGGGCCCCGCCATGGCTGCTCCCGCCGCCCGCCCGCGATCGCTCCGCATCGGCTCCCAGCCGCGCCCGGCCCGGGCCGCCCCCCACCCCCCGCCGCTTGGCACCGCGACGGTGATTCCCGCCTCGGCTCGCAGCGCCCTGGCCCCGGCCCGCTGTTCCCCGCCCGGCTCGGGCTGGCGGCGGCGCCTGGCGCTGCGGTACCGCTGCCGCGACTGCTGCTGGCCAGGCACAGCAGCGCCGCTGTCACATCCACGTGACCGCGCCGCCCCGCCACACCGCCGCCGGCCCACAGGGGGCGCCGCAGAGCTTGGCCACGCTCGGCGGGGAGCTCCGCGGCCGCGCAGCGGGAGCGCCCGGCCCCGCCTGCTCCGCGCTCTCGACAGGCTGAAGCCCCCTCGGTGTCTGCGCCCCTTCTCCGGGCTCCCCTTCCGCAATAGGAGCGACCTTGCTCCAGCGCTTTGCACGTGGGCCGTGGCTCCGGAGTGAGGCTGGCCAAGTGTGCTACCGTTTATTCACCCAACAGCGCTCCCTGGAAGCAGGACTTCAGGTCCCCGGTCTACCGAAGAAGAGGGGAAGGAAAGATGTGCTCAAGGCAGGCAGTAACTTGGCACCAGAAAGACGGCTGGCACCGGTTTTCTTCCCCATCTGCTGAACAGCTAGCAGCATACCCTTATTTCTACCTGTATTGTCTGCATTCAGCCAGTGGTGGACTGTGCAGTGCTCAGATGTGCTGTGAAGTGGGACTCGATGGTCTTGAGGGTCTTTTCCAGGCTAAATTTATTCTACTCTACCCTACTGTACTCTACTCTGCTGTACTCTGTCTCATCCCAAACAAGCCGTGGCAATTCTGGTATGTCCATCACTAAACCGTTTCTGTAAGAGGTTAGCATAAACTTAATATAATAAAAAAGAACAGCTTTTTCACTGTGTCCATGCTCAGCACCAGCATGTACCAATTGACGCTGAACCCGTACCTGCAGAACGTGGTAAAGGGGCCCGCCTGTGCTCTTAATAATGGCTCTCCAACGTGAGAAGGAACAGTTTTGGAAACATTCAATAAAACTCCCTTTCAGATCGACAAATATATATTCACAAGGAGCATCTTCCTGGCCGGGTTTTTCTCCCTGTACATATTTTCTTCCATTTTTTTTTGTTTGGATTAGGTTTTGGTGGGTTGTTTATTTTTAATCTCTCCCAAGAAGGATGGAGCAAGTTAGCACAGTATGTCTCATTTTAATATTCTGTGAGGGTCCCAATGGCAGAACAGATCTCCATAGGACTCAACAGTAGCAAGAAGAAAAAGGCACTGTCATCCCCAGGCCTACCCTGGCTCAGCAGTTTACCATTTCAGTCTGTGGAAGAAAAGTGAGGACATAGGTGTTTCTTCAAAAGAAGTTTAGGCTGCACCTATACTAAACAATGTAATTTTTTAATACATTATGGAACAAAAATAAATTACATCATATTACCAGCTGTGCTGAACTGGCATCAACACTGGAGCAATTCCTGCAACGTGTGCAGGGCTGGTGGTTTCCCTTGTTTTCGCTGGTAACCAGCCCCAGACACAAGAGAGCTGTTCACACCCCAATCATGGCCAACACCAGCATCATTTCAGCCAGACCAGTGGCAGAACTGGTTGGGATACTTCGCTGAGGTTGCCTACCATAAACAAGGCTTGAACGCACAAAGTCCCTGTATTTTATGGTGCTGCTATTTGTTTTGTTGTCATGTATGTTGATTTCTAGTAACCACTCCTAGGCTACTCTTTAATGCACTCTGAGAGCCATCTGGTTTGCCTGTTTTTACCAGGGTCATTACTTTCAGCAATATGGCAACACACACACCACTTAGGGCTGTGCGAACACCTCTCTCCCAGCACTGTGCTACACAGGGACGAGATTTTTACCTTTTGTTGAGCACCGTGTGTTTCAAATACAGACATTCAAAATATTATCCAGGTCTTTCTTGTTCACTACATCAAGACGCAAACAATGAAAAGCAATTAAATCCAAATATGCTCCAGGGTTCCTACCTGAGAAGCTGAGGTTTGTTTGTTTGTTGTGTTACATGGGATGAAATAGGCTGAAGGTATCAGCCTTCTGCAGGAGCAGCTTTTTCAAGTATGATGGAGGCAGCCAGGAGGGAGGCAAGGGAATGCTCTGTGATGATCCAGCTTCCTTCACTAATACCTATCTCTGCGTTGCACCTTACTTCCCCAGTCCTCATAGGAGCTGATTATTGTAGTCATTATCTGATCCGAACAGAATCTGTACCAGTGGTGTTCACCCTTGCTTCCCAATTTTTTCCTTTGTGGAGTTACATAAGGGAACCTAAAGAGAAGTATTTTAACGTTCACATAATTGTGCCTGAAATTTTCTTGGTGCTTCCATAACAAGCCCCATGTTTCAGGCACCGGGCACTTTTAAAGGGAGAGCAATCCCTTGGGGTTGGTACTCATCCAGCAGTAATGGAAGTGGCTTAACTTGGTAGACTCTCTGCCAGGGTGATGTGCTGAGTGGGGGTTCTGTGGAGCTTGGATGGAGGCTTCTGGGAGTTTTGGGGGCTGTGCAGGCCCCCCCAGGCAGACAGAGCCAACCCAGCACCTGGGTCTGGGCACAGAGAGGGGAAAGAGATGTGGGAACCTTGACCTGGGGCTCCACCAGCCAAACACCAGTACAGGGATGCGCACGGGGACGTGGGATCTTCCTTTGGAAAGCCTATTTGCTCCTCTAGAGCTGATGGCAAAAGGAGAGATTTCTTACTTATGCAAAGTATCAGGCCCACACTCCAGGAATGAAATCTCCAAGCATATGAATTTGCGCGATGATTTTGATGAAACACTGAAATTCCAGTGGAAAAGAAGCAAGTCAGGAGACTTCACTGAGCTGGTTTTAATTCACAGATACTTTCAGATTTATAGATAAGAAGCTGCATCCTAATCATCCCCTGGAATGAGGAGTAGAAATGTTCCAGACTCTAAGAAAAGCAGGGTACTATCTGTATTTTGAATGCAGGAGTTAATTAGCAACATCAGGGTTTGTACAGTGCTTTTCTATCAAGACATGTTTTCCAACAGGCATGGCAACTTCATTTGCTTTCAGGAGAAGAAATAAATCAGTGATGCCTTTTCTACAGTGGAACTGGTCACCACAGCTTGCAACTAACTGTCTTTGTACACAATTGCTTTCATTATTATTGGATTATTTGCATGCAATGGCCCACTTGAACATGTGTATCTTCATGGAAGAAAGATAAAAAGTGTATCTTTATTTAACAATACTTACTGTAATGGTTAAATCCTGTCAGAGGCTATTTTCTGTATAGATCACCTTATGGTGTCAATAGCTGAGTGAGACTTCTGAAGAACCAAATAGAATTGACCTTGACTAGATAAACATTCTCCTTCCTAGCTCTCTCACAGCAAAATATGTGTCCAATTTTGCAGAGATTTAGCCCAAAGATGGGTCTATACCAGAAAACGTTCCCAGCATCATAACTTTAGGAACAGGGTAAGACACTAAAGACATTGAGAAAAAAGAAAAAACTCTTGTGTAGATACTGTTACCTTGACCTAAAGCACCTAAAACGATGTGTGTGTCTTCTGGACATCACAGTAAAAGCAAGAGGACCATGTCCATGAATGAACAGGTCAGCTTCTCTTCTGTCTGTGAGAGTGAGGAGTCAGGATTTGGCCAATGGAGCAAAAAACAAAGTTAAAAGCAGGAAGCATTCACAGAAAAGCAACAAAAATAATCAGCTGCCTGGAGGGACTGAATTATAAGGAGAGATTAGAAGAGCGCTTGCTCAGCTTGCTAAGCAACAGCAAAGGGATGGCCCAGATAGCTGCCCACGATTATTTAAAAGGTGGAAACACCAAGGAAGTTGAAGGGGGGTGGGGGGGATGTGTGAAGAAATCAGGGAGAAGAGGAAACAATTTTGGATAATCATGTGGAAATATGAAAGGGAGCTGAAAAACGTATCAGGGAAAGCTTCCAAGGGATGAGCGGTATTAGACTGCAGAAGAGAAGAGGCTCTCAAAGGAAATGATGGAATCCTCATAATTTGAAACATTAAAACCAGAGTAGACAAAGCAATCATGAATATGCTGTAGGAAATAATCCTACTGTGGGATGGGATGAACATGCTTGTCTGGCATTGCTTATGAGAAGATGTACTGCTTCTTTTTTTCCCTGTTAAACTCAATTTAGTTTTTCCCCTTCACCTCTCCGCTCCCACCCCCTCTATTTGCATCCGTCTGCTTGCATCTCATACACAAGTCATGAAGTGTATTATTCTTTTTACAGTATCTATCACAAATGTGGCCGGATGGCTACCTGCTGCCATACTGCAAACAGCAAAAAAAATTGATTAGATGCATTAATCACGTTACCTCCGTATGGCATGCAAATGGTTCTGCAATTATTTCCAAGTTGGGTTCTAATTTCTTCTGACACTTAAAAATTAAAGCATATCTCATCTTTCTTCTCCTGAGGCAGGGCAGGGAAAGGAGGGGAAGGGAAGAGAAAGGAAGAGAAGAGAAAGGAAAGGAAGGGAAGGAGAAAGGAAACGAGAAGGGAAAGGAGAAAAGATAAAGGAAAGGAGAAGGGAAAGGAAAAGGGGAAGGGAAAGTGGCTCACCACTTCTCACATATGATTTGCATTCTGTTATGCTACTCAGGCAAGCACTGAGTTCCCTTTCTCCAAGCTGTTTGGACACCTTAGATCCCTTTAATTACCATGGGTACGTGACAGATGTGAATTGTTGCATATCTTGACATTTGTTTCTCTGCCTTAATATTTTAAAATAATATAGATGTCCCTCTCTTAATTCACCATGGTTTATGGAAGGGAAGCCAAATGAATCCTGTAGATGACTGATCTACCTCAGTGTACAGAAAAGCCCTGGACTGCTGAGAGGAACTATGACCTTTGGTCATTTTCTTCCTTAACATCATTGTAGATAAGCTCTGGTAATGGGCGAACTGAGAAGTTCCTTTCTTTGCCTTCCCTGTGCCAGAGCTCACTGGCCTCATAGCACAGCTGGCAGAAGGGAGCATAAGTTCATGCCTGAGCTCCTTCTGCACAGTCTGGCAATACTAGTTCACATGCTGATGAAACTGGATTTGAGCTAAGATGCATAAAAGGGAACTTTCTTGGCTAGAAGTGAAGTGCTGCACAGGAAAAGGAAGGAAACAGAAACCTTGGAAAATACAGTTTCCCTTAATATATTAGATATTTCTCTCTCCGCTTTGCATTTCCATTGTTCTCAGGGGAACAATTTTATTACTATAAATTTTAAAGTATTTTTTACAATGGCATTTTGTGCTTTTTAATAATTTTCATACATCTTTCTTTTTATTAAAAGCAAAAATGCAACAAAAAGCCTCTCCTGGCACAGCTTAAATTAACCTTGGTTTGAAAGTTAGTCTCACATAAGAAGTGTTTATTAGACTCCCGCAGTCTGGCAAAGCCCATTTACACACCAAAACCATCCTCTCCACTGCTGCATTTGAGGTAGGAATTGATAACACATTTCCCAAGTTCAGAGAAATTGAGGGAACTGGCATCTGAAGATAGGAAATGTCCCAACATTCTGCCACAAGATCCCAGCACATACCCACACAGAGCTGGTCTCTCACTGCACCATGAATCTTACAGGAATAATAGTTGTCTGCCCTTTCATCGAGGTTGAAGCTTCAGGGATGTTTGCAGGTCTCTGAAAACTCAGTGGGTTTTCTTAACTTCTTAAACTAGATTTAGCGAATCTTTCAATCTACTGAAATTAAAATGTGAAATTGAGTCTTTGAGAGCAGATCTCCTGGAGTGAATTCTTTTCCATTTTTCTGCTTTTCGATAATGTTGGATTGTTGGTTATTTTTAATGAAACATAATGTATGGAAAAGGAACTACTAATTTTCCATAGCTTGCCTGCCAGTTAATGCACTATGTGTATTTTTAGCAACAAAAAAAATCAGATTGTTGATCCTGTTTAAGAAGATTTCATACAAAGCTGTTGGCACATTGTAAAAGCAATGTAAGTAATACTCTGACACTTAATATGCTTCTCTATGATGCCCATCTTTACCTTTCCTAAAGAACATTAACATAGCAGCAGGTCAGTGGTCAATTAATGTACAAAAATAACTTCTAATGCACGGAAAACATCTTAGGATTCTTTCTGCTACAACATGAATAAACTCCTTATCAGGCATGCTGCAATATTTTCATGGATTCACAGCAAACAACGTGAAATGTCCTTTAGTTATGAATAAAAGGATATTATAACCAAAGAATATTTTGCTCAGTTTGCACTGTCTGAGACAGGTTAAATCCATTTCAGCTTAATTGTTCTCACCCAAAGTTAGGACTAAGGTTACCATCTGCAACAATGATGCATTTTAAAACACTTTAGAGTGTTTTTGATGGTTTGAGATAGTCCAACAGAGTTTCATGCTTTCTTGGAGATAATCAAGATGAAAGACTACTCTTTGTCACTGCAGAGTAACAGATATTTATGCCAAGACACTTTAATAACCCTGTGACTTGAAGTATCAGTTGTTACAGAAAACACACTCTTCCCTTAATTGTTTTCCCAGCTTACATGGGAGTTAGTTAATTACTGGTAAGACTTAGAACATCTGTACCGCCAAGGTGCGGAGTTTGAATTATCAGTGACTCTTGGAAGCAAAAAATAGTTCCTTGCTGCCACATCGAAATGATCCATCTGAACAATAGTGGGGAAATTCTGAAATACTTTCACAATGTCTGTGGCACCATCTTTACATTTTCATTTTCTTCTTACTTAGCAACCAAAAAAAAAAAAAAAAGCTTGGATTTTGTTCTGAGGAGCTGTGTTATAATTATCTTTACAATCTGCTCCAATTGTATGCTATCTTACGGCTGACATCTACCATTAGCCGTTTTGCATAAATGGCAGTAAAGGTATGACAATTACCCATCTCACTATTAAGCTGCATAAAGTAATTTCTTCTCCCTTTCTGGAAGCTAGAAAGCCCTTTCTTTTCTGAGACAGTGACTTGACTTTTGAGAAAATACTGCTGTCATCATCACTTTCATCTTCACAGTCCATGCCCAGGGAAGTTGTGGATGCCCCATCCCTGGTGGTGTTCAAGGCCAGGTTGGACAGAGCCTTGGGTGACATGGTTTAGTGAGAGGTGTCCCTGCCCATGGCAGGGGGGTTGGAACTTGATGATCTTAAGGTCCTTTCCAACCCTAACTATTCTATGATTCTATGTAAGAATATAACTTGGCTAAATAGAAATAAATAATACTTAGATTCACTATTAGCTCTTTATCCTTTTTAGTCTGTGCACCTTAGTGCTGGCTCAACAGGATCTAGATACAAAACACAGGCACACATTTTGGTCAGCCTTTGGCAAATGTAGTTCAGACTCAGGAATGCCCTCTGGGAAGTCTGCACTCATGATACTCCTAGTTGTCCCAAGATTCTTGCCCCATTCTGGCCAGACTCTTCACCTCAGAGCTCTTCTCACAGGGAAGCTGATAGGGTTTTTTAAGAAAATCTTCTCATTTGATCCTGTTCTGAAACTCCCATTCTTATTTTTGTCTTGGTAGGAGCCATTTCTTCCTTCCAATGTTACCATGAATCTCTGAAGGATGACTTCTAGCAATGACTTCTCTGTATTCAAGTATGCAGCACCAGCTTCATTATGGACTGAAATCCTTTAGGGCTTGCGGAGTCCAGGAGAAAATTTGCAGGGAACTATAGTGAAGCTTCTCTGTAGAAATACTTTTCCTGAAAGAGCTGGCTTGCTACTGTCTTGGAAAACTTTACCCTGGAAAAACTATTCTCACTGACCCTTTGCATAAAATATCCTGCCAGGGCTACAGTGGCAAGTGTTTGCTGTTTATGTAGCCCAGAAGTTTTCTTCTTTGGATGCCATTTCCTTACTTGGTTTAGGAGTTTAAAACCCAGGGTAAAACACTACCATGGTTTTGCAGGCAAAGACTCCAACATGAAGCCACATCCCCAGTTTTTATTTAAGGTGTGTGATTTAGGGCAGCACAGAAGAGAAACTTATTTGTGATGTATCTTTCTTGTTGTTGCTGTTTAATAATTATGTGGAAGTTGAATTCAGTGCTGGAACAAGATTAACCAGCAGTTGTTTTGGTTTCTGTGTGCTCTCTGCAAATGCTTCAGTCATTGGTTTAGTCTTCACCTCACTTATGCAGCAAATTAATGAATCAAAGTGTACCCTTCAAGTAAGAATACAGCCCTCCTGACATGTGGGTAAATGCACCCTACGGTCATGCTGCTGTGAGCAGTTACATCTGGCAGCAGAGGGGCACCAAACAGCTGGGCAGCTCCGCTCAGAGCTGCAAAGGATGGCTCACCACATTACTGCTTTTCATTGTGAGTGGATGTTTTTCTTTCCTCTCCAGTGAAAAAGGTTAGTGTTTGACTATTTATTTGTCTGAGCCTCCTTAAAGGCATGAGAGCAGCCGACCATTTTAATAACAGTAGACAGTGCTTCCTGCCCCCTTTTTCTCTCTGGCCCTGGGAGCTATTCTTACCAGAAAAGAACTGAAACTCCCCAAACACAACATTGCTGGCCTACAACCCCATGTCAGTGGCTCAGATTAATCATTCCTGTACTGTTTAACATCCAGTGACAAGCCTTTACATTTGTGTTTTGAATAGTCTTGGAAATTCAGGTCAAGATTGACAGCTGAGAATTTCAGGTCCCAAGTTTTAAATTACTTTTTTTTTTTCATATTCTTAATGCTTTTAAGTACAGGCACCTGTCTAAGTTCTGTTGGCTTCCAGGGGCATTGGAGCCGACAGTGAAATCACTTGGTTTCTCTGGGAGAAATCATCCAGAGAATGGGGTAACATCTAGCCCTGTAGAAATAGAATTATATTTAGTTACCTCATCAGGTGTTGTGAGGACCAGTTATTTAACAGCACTTGTGTAGTTCTCTAGGAAATGCCATGAATGCCACAGATACCGTGTTTATCTAATGATAAACATTTCATTATCAATATAAGAAAGCAATATTACTGAATAACTAAGACAATTCTTTGTGTTAAAGTGCCTCCAGTATTTCCATTTTTAAGAAGAATGTCCTTGAGAGCTTAAAAAAATGTCCTCTCACCATAAATAAGGGACAGCATTTTGCTTTCTGGGATTTAAACAGTGCCTTTCAGAAGAATCGGGAGAGCTTAGTGTTCTCCAAACAGGGCAACACTGCATCCCCAGAACTGGTAATCTTTCAGTCACACACTTTGATCTTGCTCCATCCTCTTTTCTCTGTTTCCTGGTCTGATTTTTGATTGATCTATGTACTGACCTTTAGAAAACTTCCCTGCATCACTTCAGCAGGACTTTTGCCTTGACTTGCAACGTTATCAGATGTATGTAGTGTTGAACCACTGAGAGTAACTGAGTACACAGCCACAGGTTTGTCTGGGTGATAATGAGAAGGAAAATTATTAGATAGGCTGAAATTCAAACCTTTGGATATTTTTGGTGCAGGAGTTGATATGAACACCTTTATTTTGATGTGAGTTCTCCAGGTCACACAGGTCTAACTACAGACTGCATCTAGGCAGTGTTAAAACCTGTCTGAACAACTTTACTCCGAATTAAACTGGAGTTCTATCAGTTAGCTCGGATCAGTTAGGAACTAATCAAAACTAAGCTGAACTAAAAGTACCCTTAATCCAAAATAAGAATGGTTACACCAGTCTAATCAGTGTCACTGTCTCTAATACAGAAGACTTAGTGCCAACCTCTGTTGAAACAATTCATTCAGATGAAATTCTGCCCAGGGGAAGGTTTCAGGTAATTTCTTCATTCTCCCCAACCTTTTCTGCACAGGCAGTTTGTTGCTTTCTCACTTCTTTTGTTACTGGTAAGAAAAAATTCTTCCCATTGGAGATATATTGTGTCCTTGGATTTCTTTTACTAATTCCTTTGAAAAATAACCAGTTAGTATTGCAGGGAAGAATCTGATTCATGGTTTTTCCAAGGTTTCACCTCTTTCCGAGCTGTGATGTTGATTCAGCACAGATGAATCCCAGACTTTTTATAATGCTTTCAGGGAGTTCATCTGAAAAAAATCCTGATGCGACAATTTCACACATATAAGGGAAGAGGATATTATCGCCTCTTAGGCCAGAATAGTCAGTATCTTGGTTGAGTGCATTTGCAGGATGGAAATACAGATTATATGAATTTGATTTTCTTCTATGTAATGTTTTTGTTTAGAAAATACTTTGGTTTTGAAGACACCAGGGACAGCTCATGGACCATTTTGTTTCTCTCAGATCCCCAACTTAATTTTACAGTCGGTTCTTTAGCCAGATGTCTTCATCTTTGCTGCCACTCATAATCCCTGCTTCCCACAGCCCCCTTGTGCCCTGGGGACCCTGATGCAGGGCTGGGGCTTTGTGACTTTGTTTCTGAAAAGCCCCTGCTCTTCAACTCAAAGCCTTGGGCAGGGCACTTCTCCAGCCTAAGGGGCTTTTTTTTTTTTGCACTTTCTGCTCAGCCTGAATGAGGGATCAGCCTGAGCTGGGACAACTGAATAGCCTAGGACCTTCGAGAGGGCCTGGCCCTCAGGACTGGTGTTGAAGGAGCTGCTGCAGGTGAGTGAGTATGTCTGTGCCGACAGAGCTGCTGGCTCTCAGGCTCAGACCAAGAAAAGGAAGTCAAATACTCCTGCTCTTGGGAACTACTGTTTACTCACCTTTACAGATAATATTAATGGCAGGATCCGATGGCATCTGCTCACCGTTTGCTAGTGACACCTGAATGGCTCACCACTTACCCTATTATTTGAGCTGACATTTTTCCAGGCATGTAAAAGGATGGACCAAACGTTTGTCCTTTCAGGCTTACTTCTGCTACAGAAAGAAGAGTAAAAATCCTTGTCTGTGTCGTCTTGGTTTTAATTATGATGAGAAAGGAGTGCTTTTTGTGTAGTTTGAAAGCATAAAATAGAGATTACAAAACAAATCATTGTCATTATATGTAATGGATACTCTTCAATGAAATAGCATTTTTTTGTACATTACAGTGTACTCAGTCACGGACAATAATGTCTATTTATTTATTTATTTATTGGAAACTACTTCAGAAGTGGTGCAATTTCGGGGAAGACGTAGTATCTGGGTTCCAAGTACAATGGATAAATTTGTGGAAAGGCATGCATCAGAACAAGTGATCTGTACAATGCAGATATGATTGGTTATTACAAAGATATCACATGAAGGGTAAATCACTACTTTTAACAAACTGGCATTTAAAAACTCCTGAATTACTCTGCTATGAGCTCTATGATTAACTCAGAACTTCATATGCTCTTAGGATTGTGTCTTGTCATGTCACTGTATCATGGAAATAGTTTTGCCCTTCCTTCAAGAATCTAGATTATTATTGTTATTAGGAGTGAAATTCTATAATGTTTTTTTCTAATACAGACTTAAATGACACTAATAAAACAAGGTACTTATTAGTATGTCAATAAGACATTAAAATAATCCATACACAATTCTAACTGCAATTGGTAGTATATTAAGGGCCTGAGTTTTTTGTTGGGAGACAGAGTAAATACCTGCACTTTTCAACTGGAGTTATATATATATATATGTATTATGGAACAATGACTACTAGGGATTTTTACCACTAAATGGCTACTGGGCTTTTTTTCTTGGCTTGGATTTATATCTTTTTCTTTCAATGTAAGATGAAAAATACACATATTTTTCCCTCTGATTGTTTTTATATGGTAAATATACATCAGAACTGTTACATTTGGCTTTCCCTAGGGGAGGGCCTGGAAGAGAGACATCTTTTCACTGCCTTCCTACCCTAATAAAGGAGTGGAGCACTACACCTTAGCACTCCTGGCCTTGAGCCACTGTGTCTAGGACAGACAGTAATTTGTGTCTGCCCACTATCCATTTCAATGAAGGCTACAGGAACATAAAGGACTTTAATGGTATTTTTCTTCTTTGTGCATCACTTACAGAAGCTAAATGATATCCAATGCCAAAAGAGGTTGACACAAGTAAAAGGTATTTGTTTGTGGAAAAATCATCATCAAGACTTACATACATTGAGTAGAAATGCCTTCAGAGAGAAGGATGGAATGTAGTTCTTAATTCAGAACTATCTTTCAGATATGTAATAAGATGGTTTCTGTCTTTAATGAGTGCAAATGAAATCAGAGCCAGTGCAGTTCATGTTGAGAGATAGCACAGGAGGTGAGGATCAGGAAATGAGGATAAGAGGATGGTTAAAATGGGAACATGGAAAGTTGCTCCTCACAAACCTTAACACAGAGTTTGATACGTAGATTGCCTTGATACTTGGCCATGCCTCTTACAAGAAATTGATGTAGACTATTATTCAATATGCTTTTTTTCATACAAATATCAAGCTGTGTTTGGTAATGTGCAAAAGGTCAGAGAGGAAGCCCTGAAACCTGAGCACTCTTCAGCAGCCCGGGTTGCTGGTGCTCCAAGGGATTTCCAAATCCACAGGAGCATCCAGCTATCAAGTTACACATCTGTCTTTGGAGAACAAGATTCATTGTATTGTCCAGTGAAAAGGTAACATCTGCAAGATAGCAACAGTAGCATCAGTGTATCCTAACTGTGATTACTCTTAACCCAAATCACTTCATGTAGGGGGTGACTGGTTCAGCGCAGAGAGAGATAGAACTGCTTTTGAAAGGTTGTCTACCATCCCTGACACTAAGATGCTGATTCAACATCTGAAGCACTTAGTGCAAGAAAAAGATCCTTGAATTTTAGTGTCAATAGATTCAAGCAGACTGTTTTCCAGAAGTGCTGAGCTCTTCTGGCTCCCATTAAATCTAGAGCAAGATGCTGTATTCAGCACCACTAGAGATCAAAGCAACCTTTAAAGACCTTTGGAGATCCATGTTGCAAGCATGCAACTGAGCTACCACTGCAGAGGCTGGCAGCCCTTCAGTGAACAGTACTAGGTGCTCCTTTCTTTCCCAGAACTGGAGCTTGAGGGTGCTGGTAGCAGCTTATTTTCACTGAGTCCAAAACAGAAAAATGGCAAGTGTCCACCTTACTGGGAAGAATGTGGCTCCTGGTTGGACACCACTCAGCATCAGCTGAGCCACTGTCACAGAGTACATGGTCACTCGTGCCAGCTTGTAAGGCAGTTCTTCACAGTGTTTTACTTCACATTTCCCACATGTGAAGGGCAGGTACATGGTTAGCTGCAGTGGCTCAAGTGGTCTGTGGTGACATTAAACCAGGGAAACTCAATCCTGTGTTTTATCCTACACTGTTTCCCAGTCTGGTAGATACATCTTTTCCTGTCTTTATGAAATCTGGATTCTAATTTATGTTCTTTAGGCACAGAAATAACATCAACTTCTGAACACATTTTGAGATATACCTAACAGGATACAGCTTAGCGAACATGTGAAACAGTATTCCAGATCCCTTTGAGCAAGCAATCTATATTTGCATCAGTGCCATCTTGCATTAATTCTATCCACACAGCAAGAAGCTTCTGAGTATTGTCAGTAATACTGCACAAAATTGACACACAAAACCCAGTAAAAGCAGCACCTGTTTCTGTGCTGGGCAACAAGGAAATGTCTCAATAGCTATTATACTCCATATTTCTTTCGAACGCTTCAAGCAATTAGTTCTGAAGACACTGGAACTACATTCAGATAGCATGCATTTTTCTTTCTTATTTCTGGTTACAGGGGCTATTGTTTATATGGAATTCTTGAAGATTACAGATGACCAGGAAATTTCAGAGATTTCTGTTTCCATCAGACATTCTGGGAGAACAGCAAACTCTTGGTTTCCCTTGTCGTCCTCAAGGATGACAAGGTCAATATTTATGGAAATAGGGTCAACAGCTATGGAAAACAGGCACTGGAAGACTATAAGCTTTGCAATTATAGTTTCAAACTAACACATCTGGAAAAAATAAATACCCTTCCAAGGGAGGAAAACAACTGTGGAAAACCTATGGAAGCAAGCTTGTGAATTTGCTTCATCATAATGCTGGGGAAGATTTCGTAATGGAACCGTTTCTTTACTTAATCTTGGCTTCCAGCATTCATTTCCACAAGATCAAGGCTTGATATGTCTGTCTGCCCTTAGACCAGTCTGAAACGTTGGGAAAGAGGTCCTGAGTGCTCACTCTCAGAGATAAAACCACTCAACTTGTGTTTTAAGCCTAGTCTAGAATTCATACATAAGGATAGAAGATTTATAAAATTGCTTTTAAAATCAGGCTAAGGTGTCTTTATGGACTTGGCCATAATGGAGTTTGAATAGCATTTCCATGAGCACACTCCAAGTGGATGGCATACCTTACACATCAGTTATATTTAAACTATTCACTCCTGAAATAGGTCTGCATGGATCACAAGTCTTGAGTACTTACTTCAGTACTTGAATCCAAGCTTTGTGTTCTCTGACCAAAAGATCTGGAATAGCTCTCTCTGGTGGTGGCTTTGTGCTCTAAGCAGTGCAGTGCGTGAGAAAGATCCCAACCTTCATGCTGCCACAGCCTGACAAAAGATAGTGGTCAGATCTTCGTGAATCAAGGCACAGGGGTGCTTGATTCTTTCTTCTTGTACTGGAACTTCACCTTAGTGAGAGAGCCAGCACTCTTCTCCTTGGCCAAGCTGATAGAAAAAGCAAATTATTATCCTACATTTGCGTAACTGAAAGGCCCCCAGCAAGAGATAAGACCATTGTATATGAGTATAGACAGTCTATAGAATGGCCCATACTAATTCCTTTTTCTCCTCTGCTTTTTCACTCCACTCTTATTATGGACACTCTTCCATGACTGTTCTGTTTCCACCTCTGCTGATTTCCATTTCTCTGTCTCTGGCCACATTTCAATTACCTCCTCTGGAAAGGGACTCACTGCTATGTACTATTAGCAGTGGAAAATTTCAAGGTGGCATTTTAGAAGGGAGTAACTAAACTGAATATCCAACCCACTAATATCAATTATGGGTGTCAGATCAATAACAATAGCACTGGTGTTGTTTAGAAGCTTGAATTAATACCATTATACTGCCCATTCAGCTATGGGCATTTTCAGAGACAGTATACTATTTACATTTTATTGTAATGTATCTTTTCTGAAAGTTCCCATCCTGGAGGGACATCAGGGAAACTAATATTGATGGCATAAGGCAACCGTTTGGATAGGTGCTATACAATGCTGGGCTTACAGGAGCACCCTGTGGTGACCCCACTAGGACAAGGAGTGTCCTCAGGATGGATCTCTCTCTGCCAGCTCCCTCTCCCTCGTGCCAGACTTGCCAGGTCCCTTCATGCCTCAGCTTCCTTGTTGCCCTGCCTGGTTCCTTGTTTTCCTTTCTGGTTTCGGTTGTGAAGCAGAGAGTGTCAAGCATCGGGGCAGGGAGAAGGAATATGACAAGAGAAGAACATTTGGTCTTTAAAAAAATATATATTTAAAAGCTTAAGAAATAACAAGTAATGCACCTTGTTTCCCATTTTCTTTCCAGACTGCGTGTGGGCTGATAAACCTGAGTACCTCAGCCTTACCAGTTCTGTCTGAGCAGTTGAAAGGGTTGCCACTCCATCAGCCGGGTGCTCATAGGTGTATTATAAACAGCCTCATCACTCTGGGTAATTCTCATCAATTTCTTATTCTCAGACCTTCCAGAATTAGGAAAAGAAAGGCTCTCAGGAAGCTTTTCCCCAAAAAACCCAAGGGAAATATTATTGTCACTTATGCAACATCCTGGCTGTATACTATTCTAGTAGGATGAGGGGATCAGGGCCAGCTTTGAGGGGACTCACTGAGCTTCACTTGGTTAGTCTGGCAAATGAAGGCTGAGAGGGGTGTGCTTGCTGTAAAATACACTGTGGGGTTAACATCAAGAAAGGAGCTTTTAGAAGATGGTGTCTGCTACCCCAGGGCACTGAAGCCTTTAATGAGAATAGTGGGGACCAAAAACCAGAGCTAGATTTAAAAAAAATTAGTACTATATATTAATGGGGAAAGTTGTATGTTGCAGTGCTGCCATGGCAGGAGAGTCAATTCAGTGATCCAGAAGGATTGCTCAGTCCTGTTTCCATGTTCCTCGTAGTCAGAAAAATAAATTGATATCAACATTGACACTAAAATCACCCTTCAGAGTCTTCAGGCCGCTGAGATGAAAGGTGGGAGATGGGGAGGGAGTTAATCTTTCACATTGCTATTGATTTACTCTCTCAGCTCATAGCAGAGAATAGCACCAGTTTGCACTCAGTTCAGACTTGAAAGTTGTGGTTTCTTCTCTTCAAACACAGAGACTAGAGATTATTTTGTTTAAAAATCAAAGCTCTGATTCTGCAGATGTTCAAGAATCTTTGATGGGGATATGGGAGGGACTCCTGATTCACCAGTGATTGAACTAAAGTATATTTGAGTAGGATATCATTCTTTCATTATAAAAGATAATAGAAGAAGCAGGAACACCAACAGTAGCTTTTCTTCTACATTTCATAGTACTCAGAAAGCAATGATGTGTCCCATTCAGATCCTGGATTTGTCAAGTAGCAGTATCAGCTTTGCATATAGTCTTTTCTTCTGAGCCACTTTTGATGAGAATTGGATATATAATTTTTGAGAGCCAGTCTAAGAGATTATTGTGTATCATTCTTCATACAATTTCTAGTTAGGAAATAGAGAAGTTGTTTTCCTGGCAGCCCAATTTTCCCTTTCCTCCTCATTTATTTTTTTTCCTAAACAGTTTCATGCTTTAAGATTCAATTTAAGATAATAGACTCTTTTCCCTTTTATTTTCTCCTTTGATGCTACTTTAAGGGAGTCTGTCATTCAGTATTAAAAGGAAAATATTCTAGCAAAAGTTGTGATTGTGATCCCTTGATAATTTTGTTCAATCTGCGGAAATGCAGAGGCCTTTCATGGGATGTTTCCTATCAATTTGTTCTTTTTAACATAGCATCCCATGAGTCAGGCCTTTATGTAACCCTATTTGCCAATGGCTGCAGAATCATTTTCACAATGAGAAGCGTAGGAAGTGCTCTCATTTCTCATTGAAATATTGAATTCCACATGTGGCTAGTGTAGCAGACTCCATGGTTCAGCTATAGACACCCTTTGCAGTTGTGTCATCCCATGATAATTATTTCTTTTCCTATTTTTTTTCATAGAAAACTGGAAGAAATAATTTTTGTTGTGTTGCAATTCAAGGCAGATGATTATGCATTAGCTCATACCAGAAAGGCTGATTTATTGCTGAAGCAAACTCGTATTGTTTGCCTCTCCAACTCACTTTTTTTTTTAAAGACATTAATTATTAAACTTTGTCAGTCACATTCATAAAAGGACATCTGAATCTTCTCTCATACAGTTGCAGATGATGAGTTAGAAACACCAGCTTTCCCCCAGTTCAGTCTCATCTGGCTGAGCATTGGTAACTGTCCCAGCTCATTAGATGTAACTGGCGATCGATCTACTGAATTTACAGCAAAACCATGACTTCTTATGAGGACAAATCCGGAGCACTCTTGTTTGCTGCTACTTCACACATCAAGCAAAAGCTCTTGTCCCTACCCAGGGACGTAATCCTCTTTACATAGGTGAAATGTTTATGAAAGTGGTAAATCTGTGGAAAGGGGACTGTGCCTAACCTGTAGTAATCCCATGCCCTTTGCTGAAGCTACTCTGCAGTCATATGTGTGGGATGTGAATCTGGCCTACTGCAGACTTAGATATGTATGCATAAAAAATACACCTTCAACTGTGTTGTTGTTTTTATTGTGAAAAGCCTTCCAAAGCCATACCTCAAAAGCAATCCCCTAAACTACACCTACAGCTGCATACTCACTACAGTGAGATCCTTGATGCTTAGCACATAGATGAGCATCATTCCTTCTGAGCCTGCATCAGAGCCCTGCAGAAAAACTCTCCCATGTTGCTCTGTAGTGACACTACATCAGTTCGTAGGAAAGTGCATGTCTGCATTGCAGTCGATAAAACATCAGCCACAGGCCCTGTCTTTCCTCCCTGCAGGCAGCTGTCGTGGGAATTCCTCTCTTCTTTCTCTAATGCTGCTCGATGGCCATCTATTCTGGCCTGTAACAGGGAAAGGTGCTGGGAAACCTATCTCAGGGGCTTATGTTGTGCTGAGGCATTATTCACAGGCCCACATATATAAAATTTCATGCAGAGTAACAGACATGTGAAAGGGTGCTTATTTAAATTATAAAGCAGAAAATAAAACAAGCCATTGCCTAAATGAATTCTGGCAAGATCTATGTTTGGGTCTACGGCTGGTTCCCAGTATCAAGGGAATGGCAAAGACGCTATTAATACTTTCAGAGACTGCAAGGCCTCATACAAAGTCTACATGGCAAAAAGGAGGTAAAGCCACAAATGTGGGCAATTTGCAAGGACCACACAGATTTTGATGTCTCTGCATATTCACTGGATCAAAGAATAGATGAGAATATATGTGAAATTACTGGGACATTTGCACAGTAAGAGAAAGGACTCTAATCTGTCACCTACATCCTAGGCAAATGCTCCATACGTTGCATTACTGGCTGTAATGAGAACTGCCTTCTCTTTGGAAAAAGAAAAGCATATGTAACAATCTTCTTTTTGCAGTGCTTAGTCCTCACTTTTTCCTGGAGGGAACTCAAAACCAGGCAGCACAATAATCTGAGGAAAGTTCAAAGAAAATGAGCCTTTATCTCACCTTAGTGTCGGTACCTCCTGTTCAAGGTACTGTTACTCAGCTTTTACCTGTGGGTAGGAAACATCGTCAGTCTGTTAGTTGTCTAGAAGCCAGGCACCACTACATTCAGTGTATTCACACCTCCTCTTTTAGATATAGACCTCAGATACCACTGTGGTGAACGTAATAGAAAGAGTAATGAGGAAATTTTCTATCTAATAATCTTTTTCTTTAGATCAGAGTATAAACTGTTTGCAGTACATAATGCATAAGACCACTCTTGCCATAAAGATAATGAGTCATAAAATACCTGCACACTGTAGGAGCATGCCCCTCCACAAGTCATCAGGACAAATCTATCAGCTGCTTAAGCTGATAGGAGTACCTTGTGATATCTGATGGGCCACAGAACAAATGATGTGCAAGTGCTGCAGCAGGTCTGTGCAGACAAAGTCATTGCCACACAGCTCACAGGTGCAGGTTTGGTTCCCTCCTGGAGGGAATAAGGTCTTTAATGGACTTTGCAGCATTCATGACAAGCAATTATGTCCAGGTCCATGACATTAAATGCATAGATGTGGCAGCACAGATCTCGGAGGCTGTCACAAATTGACACTAAATAAATTATCCAGGACCCTGGCTTGGTACAGCAGTTGCTTTCTTAGAAAATAGCATGGTGTTTTTTCCCTGCAGACTGGCAATTCGATTACTTCCTGTTATGGGGATTAATTGACCCACTTTGTTACTTCCAGCTAGTGAAAGTTAAACGGGGATGTAAAATCTGAGCATTAGTCAGTTATTTAGAGCCTAACCAAGGACTCATTTTTATTACATCTCATTCGCTGTACTGCCAAAACGTAACTGTACTTAAAATGACAATGTGAATATGTGCTGTGTATGCAAATTGTCTTAAAATAGTTGTTCGAGTTGCTCAAACATAGGAAAAAGAGGGAGTGACAGACTTAAGAGTTTAAATGCAGTAAGGCTGATGTCTCCCCACTTCCCAGCTTAGTTCCTAGAGCAAACTTATTTAACATCCCTCACTAGTAAGTCTGAATAGGACATACATGGTGGTGCAATATTTAAACTTCATGGCTAGCAAAATGTTCTGTGGAAAGAGGTATTATCTTTTTAATGACTGAAACAATCCTTTAAAGAAGTTTTAGTTTAGTTTCTTTTGACCTTAAAATCTAAACAAGAAGCTCATACCTACAAAATCTAGTCCTTTTGCAAATTACCTAAGGTCATAAACAAAGATCAGTATTAAATACAGAGTGTTACCGCCTTGTTCCTCAACACTGTGGATCCATAGCCATCATCTGTACTACAAAAAATAGATTTCTTCAGTCATTGATTCACTGGGTGTAATCTCAGCCTTAGGCATAGATATTGGTTGTCTGGCTATGGAGGAGGGATGTTTTATAGATTACCTGAGGTGAACAGGCACATCACTTGGGTTACTTAATTCAGTTGGTTTCCTCATCTTATGGGTAACATATCACATAGAATCATAGAATAGTTAGGGTTGGAAAGGACCTAAAGATCATCTAGTTCCACCCCCCCTGCCATGGGCAGGGACACCTCACACTAAAACACTGCACATATTTGAAACTAATCAAGCACTTTTTAAAATCTTGATTTTTTTTTTTACTCTAAGATGATGCTTCTTCACTTCTTAAATCTCCAGAATCATCTTGAAATTAAAGCAATAGATTTCATTATCAGTAATGTCTCTTCAGATTACTAAACCCCACTGTGTTCCTAATAAAATAGCTGCCAAGTTAAGACTGTTTCCCAAAGGTGCAGTTACTTCTGTGTAAGCAAGAGCAGCTTCCAAAAAACAAAGCGATGGGACTGATGCAGCTGGAATCAATATATATATTCATCTGAGAGGTAGAAATGCATGTGAATATAAGATGCTGGAAGAATAATTCCCATAGAAAAATCTAATTTAAATCAAGGACAGAAT